TGAGAAGGTTGTCAACGGCTCGACGCAGGAAAATAACAAAAGGTTGTTGTCGGGATAAAATTGCAGTAAGGAGGGAGGCGTGGCAGCGAAGCAGAGGGACTTGAAAGGGTATGTAGAACATACACACCACATCGAGACCAAGATGAAGTCAAAGCACTACCTGAAACTTTGAGGCCCTCGAAGGGAAAAAGAGACATCGATGGATGTCCCGATACAAAACACTCAAAAACTAACCGTAAAACATCAAAAAAATAAATATATAATAATAGGATAATTAAGAGAGACCCAAAAGAACTGACCAACTCCAAGGCATTGAAAAAACTTGGACAGATTCAATTTAGGCATGAAAATTGAGTGTGAAACGCGAACCAACCTCTACTTCGGACGTCCCGCGATACTGTCGGAGGGATGCCCGCTTCAATCTTTCAGAGTTGAGGGAGCTTTGGTCTCATTAGCCAAAGCTTCTATCTTCCTCATAGAAAGCAATCAGGTCAACGCGGTTGAAGTTAACAAAAATGATGTAATCTCCCGATAAGTCTTTAGAAGTTGTCATTCCAAAGCATATCCTAATAGCATACGTATTTATCCACTATTGGCACAACCTTAGTTGGAGATATGTATCGACATAGATTTTCATAAAGTAACTCCCGAGCCATTAAATATGTAATTTATCTCTTGCACTCCTCGTCCGCGACAAGGCGAATCTGATAAAGAAATTCATCTTGAAGAAATAACACTAGACTGAAATCTGTGATAGGTTGGACTACGCTGAAATATAACCACTCATAAGAAGCCTCTTCTTCGTCATTAATAGAATCTGGATGTCATTGTAAAATTTTATCTCCCACCAAACTCCTAAGTCAATTTCTAACGTTGTGTTTCATGCTTGTCCGACCATCTTTCGATGGGTACAATGCTTAAGTGAATTTAATATCCAAAAAACTCCATATGACCTTCTAAAAGTAGCTTACAAGCTTATTATTTCTGACAGGTTGGACCACATTCAGTGGCAAGCACCCAATATGTGAATTGTCAGTGAGGATGACTGGCAATTCCATCAACAGGGGTTGTCCCTTTCGCGAACTCAATGTCTTTTAGAATAATTATTGTTAACCCCGTTGGGGAATCTTTCATGGGCTCAACATGAATCACATGCATCTCTCACTCATTAGTTGTTTGTTAGTACTCCTTTGTGTCTTCATGTCCTTCAATGTCTACTTAACATTGGCTATTTCTTCAATTGTGCCCGCTCAGTGAAATAGATCATTCAATTAAATGTATAGTCTGATTTGATATGCCTAAATTTGGAGCACTTAAAGCATTTCATGAATCACACCAATTTGGGAGTGCAGATTGGTCCCATCTGTTCTCCACTCTGAACAAATGTATCCTCGGGCCAGGTCGGCTTCAATGTTCCCCTAGGTGTACTTTGACTGAAGAAACTAGAGTTGAACCATGCCTGTAAGATGTGATAGTCACCCAGGGATATTGCCTCTCCACTTTTGAAGCTAAGATCTGAACATTTTGTCTGCAAAGAACTACGAGGTACTGGTGCCACAGCTCTCGTTTCAACTTTAGACCATGTAGTAATTTTCCTCCTCCCTTCTGGCTGTCGAAGAATCTTCAAGTTCCCCCGCCAAAATGCACTATTATCTCGCTAGAGGCTAGTTTCATCATTTCGTTCGGTGAGATATCCTGACACTCAAGATACTAGAGCCACTTGATGAGCACATTTGAAATCAAATGGGAGTCAAAATATGATAAATTCACTTTTACTTCAAAATTCTGGCTTTTCAATATTTCATGTCAAATGTTTGGTGTAGTGACTCTTCATCACGAGGATTTGGATGGAATTTGTATGACACCTTTAGATGTTCCCCTCTTGAAGGCGATGAGTCTCTATTGCAGTTCAAAGTTTCCCACTACATATCCTCCCAAAAAAAGCTCTTGAATATCCTTTTGTCAATTTCTCATAGATAAAATTGTGTCATTTCCCCTCACTCACGATTCTAGATATTGTTTCATCGGTGGCATGTAAGGTGTGAAAGAAAAAATTTGGGTGGTTGGTTTGACGAATAAACCAAGAGAAGCATTTGTGTGGATGTGGAGATTAGGTATTGGTGGATGCAAGAAACCCTAACATAAAAATAAAATTAGACTAGCTTTGATAACAAATGATACCAGAGTTAACTAAGCAATAATAGAAAAACTAAATTTTATTACAAAAATCAAATATAAAATTACAACAAACATAAGTGAATGTGAAATTGCAACAACTGACAACACAAACTCAAACTACAGCAAGGAGGGAAACTTGGAAGCAAAGTGGGAGATGTGGGAGGGCATGAGGAAGATGCATACTACTTGGAAACCAATATACACCAAGACATTACCTGAAATCCTAGGATACAACACTCAAAAATGAAGAAGAGAAGATGGTTACTATCCCAATACAAAATACCCAAAAAACTAACCCTAAAACTTCAAAAACATAAATAAATCATAATATGATAGCTATGAATGACCCAAGAAGGCCAGCTGACTCTACAACATAAAAAAAATCAGGACCGATTCAATCCAAGCACTAAAACCTGGTTGTAAAACCCCATAATTATATTAAATCCAAACTCTTAAACATCCAAGTGTCTTTTGGTGTAGTGATAGAATTTCGACAGAAATTCTACAATTGAGTATGCTCGAGCTTGAACATTCCTAGAACGAGTGACCTCTTCGAAAGTTACATCAATAAAGCAGAACCATGAGGCCACTAGGCCAAAATAAACAATACCTTGATAGGTGAGAGTTCAGGCTGTTACACTGGTGTTGTTGATGTTTACGAAAAAAAATTACACATGGGATGCAATCTCACCTCTGCATTGGATGCCCCAAGTCAATGCAAGAGGGACGGTCGCATCACTCACATTAAGGTTTTTTTCTCGTATATTAAATGATTTAAATATGAAATGAAATTGCATTCTCACATCGCACGAGTTCCCCTCTCCCAAAGTTTCCTAACATTGTTGCCTGGTACTTACTATTTTTTGCCACCAGCGCCGCAAACTGCTTCTATTATAGGCATTTGCTTTTGTTGTTGTTGCTAGCTACTTCTCTTGTTGTAGCCACTAGCTGCTCTTGGTTCCGCTGTTGTCACCTGTTGCTCTTGCTTTTGACTATTGTTTATATTTTTATTTAGATATATGAATATTATAATATTGGACAATAAGAGAAAAAAATCCGCTATACTAAACTCATCTTATTTTGTTGATACTTTATGTCAAATTAATTGATGACTTGATTAGTTAATATTTACATTAAATTTTTATTTTGTGAATGTTGTTACAAGATATTTTGAAGCTCAAGCAATTTATTAATTTATTATTTCATATAAACGCAATTTATCAGTTTTTACCATTTTAGAATGTTAAGGCCTTTCATTAACATAAATATAAGTAATGATGCTGATGCATTATTTTTATCTCATTATTTTAACTTCACAGTTTTCAACCTATGAGATTTATGCTTCGAACCACCTCAAGGCTCACACTTCATCTCACAAATTGAAAACACATTAATATACCTAACTGCATGATTTTAAACATTAGCTTAACCAAGGTCATCTATGAAGTGAAACGTACGGAGTTGGGGAGGAAGACGAAATGGCCACGAAGGCCTTCTTGTTTATAATTGACACTTAAAACTTAATTGCAATGGCAAGCTGTGATGAAGAGAGGGATTGGTGGAACAGGGAAGTGATTTTTAGGGTACAGTCGACAACGATAGTGAGGATCATAGCAGTAGAAGACGACATCATGTGACCGTTTTTCAGGAAGGGGAAGCTGAGTCTGCCGCCGTGGAAGAAGATGATGGGGAGGGATAGGCAGATCCATGATCCTGGGAGTGACTCGTGGCAAGCGAGGGACGAAAAAAAAATGATAATTCTCTTTTTTTATAAATCAATCAATTTATTAAAAAAAAAAATCATTCTCCAGAAAATCCTGCTTCTCATCACTCGTGTCCTACAAATCTTTTGCTCTTTGCATTAACAATCATATGAGAATTCATGTGTGATTCCAAAAATACCCTCATCAAGTAATGTCCAAAAATTAATAAATTCGAATGTTTGCACAGAATGTAAAGTAAATAATAAGGGAGGGTGCCTCTAACTCTTTTAGCAAAGGGAGCATTAATTTAGTTGAATAACTAGGCAAGATTTCAATTAACTTAGAGAATGATGACAGCCTATTTTTTTGACTTTGGCCGAAAGTTGACTATTTATGAATTATGATGGAATGAATGCGGCTCTATGTTAATTGTAGGGATGCTATTAGGTATGATTTAATTAAAAAAGGGGTTAGATTATCTATTTCTTATCTACCATCAGAATTACAAAATACCCCCTCACAATGGTATGAACATGAATACAATAAATATTGCCGGAGGAAAAGAACACATACAGCTGCTCGAGGATATTTTTGATCTAAGATGAATAAAACAAAGAATCAAAGCTGGCTATAGAACAAAATCATTGCTCCCACATTCATGCATAGAACCATTTCACGTCGTATTAGTTGTCGGGCTAACATAATCATCATTATCCATCATATATATATATATATATATTCTTTTCTTCTTAATTTCCAAGACGTTTTATCTCATAACATCAACCCCACCAACACCTGCGGCTAAATTGAATCGTCAAACTTCTAAGCTGAATAAAGAATGAATAATTGAGAGCTTTATCACACAGGTTTTTGCACTAAAATCTCAACTGATAAGGAAAAAGGAAAAAAAAAATTATCATTGCATTACAGCTTTAGCAATACAAAAGCAAACTGTGATTTTGATTCCAATTCCAAACAAATATTAGATAAAAATAAGCTAATAACAAATACTCCCTTTCATCTGACTATCTTTCCGTATTATAATAAAAGAGAGCAAAGGTCAGTTCTATCAAAGATCTAATAAAAGCTATAAAAAAATTTTAATCATTTATGAAATAAAATTCCTAAAAAAAGACAAGCTTGCGGTCTATATTACTTGTAGAGAACAAAAAAAAAAGGTTAGAAAAATAAAAAAACTCACCAGATGCCATAATTTGACAATAACTCAAGCTTCCACTCCCCATTGCACAAGTTGAAGAGCAAAATCATTTCAATAGAGGCATTCTACATACTCCTAATGAACAGAAATCTCCTCCTTCAGTGGCAATGTCATCTCCTATTCAGGTTCTAAGATAATCATCCATCTGTTATAATGAATAAAAACTGCTAACAATCAGAAATTGAACCTGTTTGGGCTTCAAATGTTAACTTGATATCTCAAAACTTCCAGAGAGATCCCAGTATCTATATATATCTCTATATAATCTTCTTTCCTGAAGCCCATAATTCATCAGCAAAATTGAATTTTTGTGGTTACAGAACGAGCAAACGATATTTCAAGTGGAGGAGGACTCTGGTTTAGGATCAAACGAAGGCAATGATGGTTCGAAAACATCTGCGAGAGCTCCAAGCATGTTTGTTACCCCGACAGTGTCGTCAAGATAGTACCTCGCTTTGCTTGGTTTTTGGCCGACGGTGCAAGCGAACACAGATGTGTGGGGTGCGACCAAATCCTTCGATAGAGAATTGCTTATGGATTCAAACATGTCCTCGTCTGATCTATCATCACCAATGCATAGCACAAAATCCGCCCGTCTATTTTTTCCAACCATGGAGGATAAGATCTTTTCAACAACAATTCCTTTACTTATGCCCTGAAATGAGAATAAAAAGATATCAAATTTTGATTATAGATCATAGAAATGTTGATGCGTGGGAGAAATGTTTGTACCTGAGGTTTGACTTCGACGATAAACTGACCACTTTTCACGAGTACTGGTTCGTTTGCTAGAACGCTTTCGAGGTGGTCGAGCATCTCCTTTGCTTGAGCTGATCCAAAGTCTGGGTCTGCATCCTGGTGGTGCCACACCAAAGCACTCTCTTTCTTCTCAATGGAGGACCCATCGGTTGATTCTGTGTACAATTTCATGACTGGTTCAGCAATCTGCATCCATTCAAAATCAGCACTCTGGCCGCCTGTTTCCCATTCCTCTTCCCTACTCCACCTGAAAGCATTAAATGCAATGGCTTGAAACTACAAAATATGGAACAAGAATAAATTATAGGATGAAGTAAAAGTTATACCAGACATCAAAGTTATACATGATGATGTTAACATGAAGCTTCGAGAAATAATAATAGATAATTCACTAAAATGTATTCTTATTTCTATGTACATCAAAACTGTTATAATCGAGCTAGAGCTTAATTTGGATTATCTAATACCGTTCAATCAAGATTACCTCAAGAGAAGAGGTGTTAGAAAACAAAGCACCTTATAAAATTTTTTCAACAACACTAAAAAAATATACTGATTTAAAAGGATAATTTAGAAAGTTAATCTAAACGACGAATGAAACTTTTAAATTACCTCATGTGATAGCCATGCTCGGCTGCAATCCCAAGGTTTTTGCAAGGAGAGAACCACTTCCCCAAGCTGTCTTTACCCCTGCCACTAACAATAAAGACAACATTCCTTTTATCCCCACAAAGTGTGTTAAGAATGGAAATAATTTCTGCACTTGGAGCCTTGTTAATGGACATCTGGGGAATAACAGTGCCATCATAATCCAACAAAATAGCGCGGCTCTTAGATCTCTGATAAGCAGAAACAATGCCATCAATGTTAAGCTTCCTGAAGTTAGGGTCAAGAGCAACCACTCTGAAACCAAAACCCAAACCAATTCCCCAACATCTCTTCTTGAAGTGGTCCTTACATGTCCTCTCTAAATCAGTCATGAAGGATCTAGACCAGTAAGCAGCATCATGAGTGCTGACATAACTGTAATGTTTCTCATGGCGTACTTGTTTCTCTGCATCATTCAAGGAGATTGCCTCGTTCATGGCCTCTGCAGTGGACTCGGTGTTCCATGGATTGATCCGAATAGCCCCACTCAGTGAAGGAGAGCATCCAATGAATTCAGAAACAACAAGCATGCTCTTCTTAGGACCATCTGGACCAGAATTAGAATCTGATCCAGAAGTAATGCCCTGTCTGCTGACAATATATTCGTAGGGCGTGAGGTTCATTCCATCCCTGACTGCTGTGACCACAACACAATCTGCAATTGTGTAGTAGGATATTCTCTCTTCAACTGATACGGACCGATCAATATAGACAATAGGATTGTAATCACCATTCCCAAACTGCTGATTGATCCTCCTGCAACTCTGCTGAATCTCCAACTGGATCTCTTCAAGATCCCTTCCCCTGCCTCTCGCAGGATTGACAATCTGCACAAGAACAGCATTGCCCTGCCACTTGGTGTGAATCTTCAGCATTTGTTCAAAGGCCAGCAGTTTTAGATTGATACCTTTGAATATGTCCATGTCGTCAACACCAAGAAGGACCATCTTTCCTGCAAATTGTTGTTGGAGTTGGGAGATTCGCCAGTCTTTATCCGGCAGGGCGAGGGCCGATTGAAGTTGGCCCATGTGAATACCCACTGGCATGATCTTGATTCCCACAGTGCGACCAAAGTACTCCAGTCCTATATAGCCGCGCTTGGACTGATATTCAATTCCCAGCATCCGGCTGCAGCAGGAGAGAAAGTGGCGCGCATAGTCGAAAGTGTGGAACCCAATCAGGTCGCAGTTGAGAAGGGCTTTCAGGATCTCCTCACGCACCGGGAGGGTGCGGTAGATCTCTGATGACGGGAATGGGCTGTGTAAGAAGAATCCCATCCGGAGACGATTGAAGCGGCGGCGTAGGAAAGTGGGGAGGGCCATAAGATGATAATCATGAATCCAAACATAGTCATCCTCGGGATTGATGACCTCAATGACCTTTTGGGAGAAAACCCTGTTGGCGAGGACATAGGCCTCCCAAAGAGATCGATCGAAACGGCCGCCATGGTCCGCCGAAAAAGGGAGCATGTAGTGGAACAGCGGCCATAGTTGCTGCTTGCAGAATCCATGATAAAAACGATCCAGGAGTTCAGGCTCAAGGAAAGCCGGGACGCATGCTCAAGAAGGGTTTGCGATATATCGTCCTGCTCGTGTCCTTCGACTTCGACGCGAAGCGAGCCGACGTAGATGACATCCATATCTTCCGGTAAGCCGTCCTTAAGTTGAAGGAGGAGGGAACTCTCATCCCACGAGAAGCTCCATCCCCGACCATCTGGGCGGCGCTTAGCCCGTAACGGGAGCTGGTTAGCGACGATGATGATCCGGTCCTGCGCAATCGAGGATGGCACGTCGGACGTCACACTATTCGCCCTCTCATCTTCCTCCAGCTCCGCAAGCGTCCCCGGCACCGTCATCACCCTCGGCAGCCGTTTCCCCATACCCGACCCTCCACCAGCAAATGCCGGAAAATTCCCCGACTCCAGATCTAACAGGTTCGTATACGATCTGGACATCATCTTGCCCAATCAAACAGGATCAGCTGCACCACATAAAACAATCAATCAACCACAAATCCCAACCAAACCCTCCCCCTTCCCACTACCCCTCTCCAACCTCCTCTCTCACTCACTCTTACCATTCCATCAACAAGAAATCTCATCCCATCTCCTTCCATTCTCCCCCCAAATCGCCAAAAAACAGACACAAATTTCTACCCCGAAACACAAAATTAGAGCGGAAAAAATCAGGACAACGAAAATCAAACTTACCTTAATCGAACACCGAACAAATTATCCCCGACTCTCTTCTTCCTCCTGCTTCCACCTCCTCCTCTGTTTCCCAATTCCGATTCGCAGAGCGGCCGTTCCGCTGCGATTCAAGCATCCAATTAATAATAAAAACAAAGATTTAATTACAAACTCACCCTAAACCAAAAATAAAAATAAATAAATTAAAATTAAAAAAAAAGGGCGTTCGAGGTGGTTCTCACTTCTCTCTCCCTCCGCGACTCGGAGCAATAAATGAGGAGCGAGACGAGAGGATAAGATTATAATTTTCCCTCTTTTTCAAATTCAAAAATAAATAAATTTAATTAATTAATTATATGGAGGGGGAAAGTAGCGGGTATATGCTGAGGGGGAGTAACAGGATAAGGTCGGCCAGCCGACTTGCTCCCCCATTGTGCCGGCTGGCGTCACCCAGCCAACCATCACGTGCTTCACACGTCGAGGATCTTCGATGCCGATGCTGACGCGTGGCGCCTAGGAGTAAAATGAACGGTCCGATGGTGTCAGGCTTTACTCGTGGTCGCTCCAGAGCGCCAGCTGGCGGGACTCAGTTTCATGGCCCACGGGTGCGCGACGGCGCACGGATGATCCGTTTTGAGCGGTGATGGGCTGTCATCCAAAAATAAATAAATAAATAAATAAATAAATATTTTATCTGACTTATGATTAGTCCGCGTAAGAATTTGAATGAATACAATTTTGATTTCTAACGTGATGAATTCCAATTTATCCTCTGGATCACACCAAACAAATATAATGTGGAGCAGGAAGACAATGAATAATAAAATGAAAGGCTCTTCAAATAAATTCCTATTTATATATAAACGGTAAATGAAATAAAAAGTTATATTGTTTTCGCTTACTTACTGAAATAGGGAAAAAATTTGCGTACATAAGACATGAACTCATGACTTTTTGTTCTGTGGTCTGGTTGGCTCGGCTGGTTAAACTGAATGGGGATTTGTCGATCATGTCGGTTGACTATATTTGTTAGTGTTGTTGGGTGTAATTCCATCGGTCGGCTTGGCGACCGCAGGTCGGTAGGACTGATCTGATCGGTTGCAGCTGGTCGATCGATGAGAGTAGTTCGGTCGACCCTCGATCTCCACCGAGGAGTCTCTGTCAATAGGGTTGAACAGGGCTATAAGGTAGGGAGTAAATCAACGTAAATCCAACGGGTAGCCATCTCTTGGACAAAAGGATCATGGTGGGACGGTTGAGATGTATGCATTTGGTGGCATTTTTGGGAGAAGGCTAAGTGATATGAGTATGAAAGCAACAGAGGATAGCCTCTCCTTCGGCCTGACTTAGGGCCCGTTTGGGGCTGCTAATCCGCGCGAGCGGCGTTTTTAAAATGCTGAGGTGTTGTTTGATTCATGTGTTCCTCTGAATTATGTTGAACGCTGTGAGATTTCTCAATGGTAGAGTAATAAATTATCGTCTCAGCATTGTACGAGAATCTAATACATACTTAGAGAATAAAAGTAATAAGTAAAGACCCAAAAGTTTTTTTGGAAAACCCAAAAAAGTAATAAAAAAAAAAGAAAAATCACGTGGGTTAGTTAAGTAAAAAATAATCCACTATAGCTTGATGAGTACAATTACGAACCCTTGTCCCGCATACTAGAATGGGTCATGAATTACAATGTTCATATGCATGAGGACTCATTGCACAATTGTTGAGACTCGTTACAGCTATCAGAACTTTGGTATAGCATCCTTCGAGTGTGTTGTTGCAAGATATTTAAGATGATGTGATGCTCCATAGAATGCCTTGCGCTCCACGATGTTAGTCGCTACTTCACACAACGCCTTGTCACTTCACAATATTAGTCAACACTTCGCACAACGCTTCGTTACTCTACAACATTGGTCGTTATTCAACAATTTGCTTCATTGCAATGAGTAGATGGCAGTTGACTGTAGTCAACAGTGGTCGGCGGCGGTGAAAACAAGAAGAATTCGTCAAGTCTTCAGATTAGAACACTAGACTTCAATTCCTTCTCTTCTCGATCCTTCTCCAAGCTCAAGTCTTTGCCCCTCTTTCATGAAGGGGGTATGACACTATTTTAATTAAAGTTTAAACTTTCTTGCTAAAAAATTGTCCTAGATTCATGTCACACATAAAGATTCATGCCAGATGATGAAATTTTGTTGATGGTATACCAAAGGTCAATGCATATTATTAAGGCATGATATTACTTATAAATTTTTTACATATTACCGACACAATAATATAACGTACCAATCTTTGACAATTTCACAATGTGTGTGTGTAAAATTGTATAATCAAATGTATAACTTTTAGAGCTTTTACAATATCCCATCTTACCGCATTTATACCTAATGATAAAATATTTATGTTTGTTTATATATAATACCCTCCTATTTAAATTACACTAAAATATATATACATAAAAACAATTATATTCCAAATGAATAAATGTTATTGACATTATTGACACAATTTAAAACTAAAAAAATTATGCATTAAATGCGCGCGCACATATATATATATATATATAGAAAACAAAGAAAGATCGTCAAAAGACTCACGACAAGAGAAATGCGACGACGAATCAATAAATTGATTAAAATCGTAAAAAACACGGGAAAATCCCGAAAAGAGACCATGAGTGCTTTGTCCAAAAATTCTAAGAAAACATATGGAAAAGTCTGAAAAGTATATATATATATAAAATAAATGTATGATATCTTTTATTCTCATAAATATTTCATATTCGGCTCCAAAATAAATCTGTTTAATAATAATATTATTATTTTTTTAAAATTTCAACGTAAATTAAGACTTTTTAACGTCGAATAGCGCACATGGCCACCGCTCTCACCTATAGTCGCCCGTAGACCGGGACCACTTATCGGTCCATGTAGAAGTCCGGCGGCGGCGGCGGCGGCCGACGAGGAATTTGTTGAACAAAACGTACGCGGACTTGTTAAATTGACCCATTAAAGAGACCTCACCTAATTAGCAAATAGATTTTGCGGGTCCCGCTTCTAATCTCTGATCTTGGTTTCTTAATGATGCACCGCATTTTTTTGGCCGTTGGGGTTCTCCACCGCACGCTTGACATTCTATCCGTTACTGATAAAATATTAATAATCTCTTAATCCGTGAGACAAAATTGCATGGAAACCCCTAAAATAATAATAATTGTACAAAGGACCCTACATTTGTGTCGTCCTGAAGGGGGTAAGGTTAAGGTCATTGTTTTGGACTTGAGTTGCTCCAAGCGCTCTTGATTGTCCACGTAATGTCACTTCAGATGATACTAGTGATCTGAACCGTTCATTTATATATAAGGGCAGTGAAAATAATTTTTCTAACAAATTCCTAAGAAGTTAATGAGCTTCTAGAAATATTGTGTGTGTTATATGTCTATACCTAACAAAAAAGTGCTGGATTATAATTTTTTAGCTATGAGCTTTTCTTATACGAGCATTGATGTGTGTCGGAACATCTCTGATGATAATCCTAAATTTAGCATTTTTGTGTTGAATGGAAACCCATCACTTAATCCGATAATTGAAGAGATGAATAGAAGGAGACACCTAAACTTTTTACGTTGAATTTGGAAAGTGAAAAAAGAAACTATAAGGTCTAGTCCAATTGAAACGATTGACTACTTAATTTTGACCACATACGTTTACTCTTCTCCTGAATCAAGAAAATAAAGTTGTAAAGATGATCGTTATAAACTTGCAGCTATGGTATGATGACATGTTCGCATAATGTGCTTATTAATTGTCTGTATTGTCTTTTTGTATGTTTATGTTATGTTTTTGGAAGGTATATTGGGTTGAAATGTAGGTAACAGGTATAAGGAGCAAATCGGGATTCAAAAATAAGCAGAGAGAACAAAGTGGTGCTGTGGCGCCTAGACGCTAGAACTTGGCGTGAGTGCCAGTAACTCGTTGCAGTTAGTCTAGCACGCTTGATGAAGAGTTTTAATAGCTAGAGCAAGCGACAAATGCGTCTAGTCGAGGAGGTGGAGCAGGATGATGATGAGGATGAAGATTAGGCTTTTTCCTGTGTTTGAAGATGTTCCCCCAACATAGAAGCTAACTTTATGTTTTTTTTTTTTTCATTTTGGTATTGTACAAACTTTTAGTTTCTTGTGTTGTGAAAACAAAACAATTTAACATTTCTAAATTTAATATGATTTAGTATTATTATATGTATGTTGGAGATTTCATTTATGAGTTGTGATGATAGATAAATATTATATTATGTTGATTGTATTTGTTATGTGTAGATATGTGGAAATCTAATCATTTTGTTATATTTTTTTTGTTTCTTATAGTTTAGCGTTGGATTTGCATCAAAAATTTTCGACGCTAAAACCTATAATCAACCAACGATACAAGTCGCCACTAAAATTTTCTATTATTCAAACGGCAAGTCTTCATCTTCTTCTCCTCTCTCTCTCTCTCTTCTCTCCCTCGCTCAATCTCTTTTCTTGTCTCAATGCTCTATCCCTTTGACACAGCCTACCATACACATTTGGATTCAACAAAAATGTTTGATTTGCACTTATTTTGTCTCAATCGAACCAATTTTGATAATTTTGAGTTCTTATTAAAAACATTTCATTTGACTTTGAAACAATGATCCTCAATATTTCTAAAAATTTACAATTAAAAAACTTAAATCATGTTTCATATTTTATTTAAAAAATTTCTGTGCTCATTTTTCTTAAACTGAATAAATTCAAATTTATATGACATGTTGTTCATATAAAAGACTTTAGCACGATAATAATAAATAATAATAATAATAAATTATTTTTCACGAAGCTTTATATATATATATATAGCATAAATAATAAAATACGGAATGGTCGCATACGGATGAAATACAGTTTCGAAATCTCTGCGGATCGCACTTGCAATCTTATAAACCTATGAACATTGATATGGCCATAATTTATCTTTTTTATGACCACATATAAAAGCTACGTAGGCCCATATGCAATCTCTTTATATGTATATATATATATATATATATAT